AACTTCTTAAACAATATAATCTTGTTAAGAAGAGATCAGGTTACCTAGTTTTTGTTAACAAATACACATTAGTATATTTCTTTAAAAAATAAACTGGACTTGTTTTTTGAATTCCTATTTACGTAATTATCCTTGATGTTATCTGACTGATTGCTATCATTTGTAGGTTACTAACTTAGTTATGTACTCCATAGCCATTACAGGTTACTGTATAAATAGAATTTTTCTTTATTCAATTTTTGACTTCTGTTTTGAATATAACATTTTGCTGAAATTCCAATCTCCCCTATCTCATATTAGTATGTGGATTATTAACGGTGGAGTATTGTTGTGTGACAGACTTCTGGTTTACTGTAATTCCAATTCTTTGTCATTTGTATCAGAAGATCCATAATTGCTCGTCAATATAATTTACTGTGTGTGAAGGAAGGATCGCCTTAATAGCTAACCATTTGTACTTGTTCATAATTTCGTCATAGAAATGTATTTACGCTGCAGGAAGACCTGAATGTAATTTATTTTGTTTTTGTATTCTTCTGACAAAAGCCAAATTTAAATGGTAATTTTTATTATTCTCCGAGCATGCGAGACTAAGGTTCTGAGTTGGAATCCCGATTGCGGGATCGTAGATGAGTACTGCTGAAATTTACTGCTTGTAATTTTAAGACAGTCGAAATCACTAGCCATGAAAAATTCATGCAAAAGACCTGGTTGCCGTTTTGCCGTTACATCTGGGATGCAATGTGACAACTGCAAAGGTTGGTTCCATGAGGCATGTACAGATCTAACAGCAGCAGCCTATAGCAGACTCAGCAAATCTGATCGTAGGTGGGTATGTGTTACCTGCAACACTGATACGGTAGTTATGTTGGGTACCATCATTACTTTACTGACAGGTCTGAGAGATAAGTTGTCCAAGAATTTGGTAAATGATAACATCATGACGGGTAACAAAGCTGGAACGCATAGGGCAAACAAGAAAAAGGATACTGACAGGTCGGTTATCAACGGTGCTGTTAACAGCACGAGTGATGATGTGCTGAAACGCAGCACCATTTTAACATCGACTGTCATCGACTCCCTCAGTAAACTTGGGTCCCCCAGGGAACAGTCCTTGAATGAGACAGTGGTTCCCAAAAATCCTGTAGGTGGATGAACTCACGTTAACATGAGTAATAAAGCCCAAGCGTCCCCGTCGAAACCGAACGTCCCAAGTATCGTACGGAAACCAGTTGATGCTTTGGCTGCACAGTCTACCCCCAAGACTGTCCTCACGGTCATCACTGAGCCCAAGAAACGAAAACGCCCCTCGACATCCAAACAACAAGATACCAAACCTAGACGCCCTGGAAAATCAATTACGATTCGTGACGACTCTGTCATAATCATGAACCTTATTGACAACCCCGACCTTCCTCTCAGTTTGCAGGACAAAAATGATAGGATGCTCTTGGGAGAATTAAACAAGAGGCTTGAACTCCCTAGAAAAGAGCCTTTGACCGTCACACGGCTCACTCGGGGGAAAGACTCTAATCACCTAAACCACCCGAGGCTGCTTCGTGTTACACTTAAGAATGCCTCCGACGTAGAGGACGTCCTGCTAGCCAGTCACTTACTGAAGTCCGATGGGAACGTAAGAATACTGCCCGACATACCGTATTCTGAATGAAATCTCATCCGGAACATTCCTAAGGAATCTCGCGAGGCGTTCTTCCGTGGACGAAATATCATTGTGCAAGGTGTTTTGCAAAATATGGACCCAACTCAAGCAAACTCTGATATTAGGGAATGGAAATTCATTAAGCATTCCTTAATACTCAAGAACATATTGACCCAACAGGTAATGAGACTAGCCAAGAGAGACAGAGACTCTAGGCCCCGGCTGTTGAAGATAACCTTCCCTTCCTCTTACATCGCGGCTGCAACTCTGGAAGCATTTCGTGCCAATAGACGTCGGTTGCCAACTGGCATCTATATGCATCCGGATAGGCCCCAAGACAGCAGGATCAAGCACAAGAGAAAGCTGGAGCTGACAATTCCACTCGTGGACTGTCTTGATCATAAAAAAAGTGTAAAGGACAGGGACTACCAACTCGGTAAACATCGTATAGGTAGGCTACCTGTCCACTCACGCACGGCTCATATAGACAAACAGGAAGTAGCTCACGCGTTCCAAATTGAAAGCATAAACTGCCTATATACGAATGCTGCGAGCTTGCCAAACAAGATGGATGAGCTATGTGAACTTAGCAACGCTAATGATGCCCATCTGATAGGAATATCCGAAACTTGGATAACGTCTCAGTTTACGGACCAGGAGTTAGCAATAACTGGGATGTCTTTATTTCGCAACGACAGAAAAACAGGAATGGGGGGTGGGGTATCACTATACATACGGTCATGACTGGATGCGAACCAACTTCACAACCAAGAGTTTCACAATCTTGACGAGTCAGTATGGTGCTCAGTAAGATTATCTACCACCTCGAGGTACCTAGTTGGGGTCGTTTACAGGAAGCCCACTGCCGACATCGAGTATGACAAACGTCTGCTGGAAGGATTAACTCGCTCTACGCGTCTCGGATTCTCTCATATCCTGATTCTAGGGGACTACAATCTCCCTAGAATCAACTTCGTGGAACATACATACATTGGTGGTGCCAACTCTACTGAAGCTCTATTCTTCAACCTTATCGGAGACCTGGGATTATTCGACAATGTGAAGTCGGCAACCCGTTGGAGAAACAGTCAAACGCCGTCGCGCTTAGACTGGGTATTCACAAATGAAGAATTCCTAGTTGACGACCTCTCAATCCTGGCTCCCCTGGGGAAAAGTGATCACGCCGTCTTATCATTCAGCTTTGTCAGCAAAACGAAGCCACGATATCCTACCAGCATCAAGCGCTGGAACTTCAAACGGTTTAATGTGTTAGCTTTACAGGATTATCTACAACAGGTGGATTGGGATGTTCACCCTCAACTTTAAGAGGATGCTCATTGGGATTTTTTACTGCACACGATCTTATGTGCTACTGAGTATTCAGTTCCTAAAATGGTCCCAAAAAGCTACAAGCAACCTCCAATCATCAAGAACCGCACCCGTCGTTTGCTAAGCCGCAAAAGGCACTGTTGAACTGAATATAAACGAACTGATAACAACGGCGCGTACAGGCAATACAAACATATAAGGAACATGTGCACAAAAGGCAATAAGAGAAGACAGGCTTCAGTTCCAGGCCAAGCTTATCGATAAATTTGTCTCCAATCCGAAGAGCTTATTCCGTTACGCAGCTTCTCTTCGACAAGGCAAAACTGGAGTTTCCCAACTGCTTGGTCCTAATGGCCCGACCAATAACGACAGTGATGCCGCTAACCTTTTGGCTGAACAATACTCTCAGACATTCTAGCCGACCCACATCAACCATACTGACGAAAGCTTCACCTGCACCTGTACAGGACTTTCCGAAGTGGACCTGAGTGCTGACCTGGTGCTCCGTAAACTGCAGCACCTAAGAAAAGACACTTCTCCTGGTCCGGATATGGTTCATTCCGCTGTATTGAGGGAAGCAGCTTCAATCCTGGAGACACCACTTAGCGTGATGTTTGCACACTCGCTAATCAGAGGCAAACTATCGGAAATATGGAAGCCCGCCCACATCACACCAATTTTCAAAGGTGGTCGACGCAGTGAACCCTCAAGCTACCAACCAGTGGCCCTTCTCTCCATACCTTCCAAAATTATGGAATCCCTAATATACGACGGTATACTAGAATACTTATCATCCTCAAAGTTCTTCTCGACTCAACAGCATGGTTTCACTCTCTCTCAGGCTACGGGATGTCCTAGTGGGGTCCCCCACGGCTCAATACTAGGACCTCTTCTCTTCTTGATTTACATTAACAAGTTTCACCTGACTTATTGCTTTTTGCTGGTGATGTGAAACTTTGGAGAGAGATACGTAATCATAATGATATACTACTTCTTCAGGAGGATCTGACCCGACTTCAAAGTTGGGCAGACGACAACGGACTTACCTTCAACACTTCAAAGTGCAAGGTAGTCCATCTGAGACATGTTGCAGACTATAGTTATAACTTAGGTAACTCCCCTCTAGAAGTTTCCCAAGTTGAGAAAGATTTAGGAGTGTTGGTACCCTACGACCTGAAATCGTATGCTAACTGTGACAAAAACGCCTCTCAAGCAAACCTTGCACTAGTAACATTGAAGCGCATTTTTGGCCAGTTTGACGGTAGAACCTTTCATATAATCTTCAACAGTTTTATTCATCCCCATTTAGAGTTTGGAAACATAGTATTTCCTCCCTCCCTCCAAAAGGATACGGACAATCTGGAAGGTATACAACGTCGAGCCACGAAATCAGTTCGGGGACTCAAATTCAAACCTTATGAAGAGCGCCTCAAATCACTTAACCTTTACCCGTTAGAGTACAGGCGTCTTAGAGGTGATCTTCTTATGACTTACAGTATCCTTAATACTTCTGGTCATCCCCTTAAACATCTTCTTAAGCTTAGTCACAACACTAACCTGAGAGGTAACACCCAGAAATTGGAGACCCTACATAGCAGAACGGACTGCAGACACAACTTCTACTCCGTTAGAGTTGTCAAGTACTGGAATTCGCTGCCGACTGTGCTAGTTCAAGTGACCTCCCAGGAGTCCTTTAAGAGGAAGCTTGACTTATTCTTAAGGACTAAGGATAACATATTATTATGATTTACCAAATTATTTTTTTTCCCCTCTATTATCGTTCATATACCCAGGTTCTTGCCTGGAGGTATTGGTGATCCACTGCTACCAGACACGAAAGCATGTTAAGCGAAAGCTTCTTCTATTCTGTCCTCAACCATTTGAACCATTTGAAGCACGAAATACGATGGAGAGTTCGGATACAGCTGGGCGATTTAGACTTCGAAGATGATCTGGCTCTTCTATCACATACATATGCCGAAGTTTCCTTCTCTTTCCGTGATAGTGAAAACTATTTTAATTTTTGAGTGAAGTATTCCAAAGAATACCATTGAAAAACAGGGAAACTGGTTGTGTAAACCTACTTCTCATTCCGCCACAGAATTCGACATCAGTTTAGTAATTTGTTTGACAGGAGTCGAAAAATAAATGATGTGTGTCACGGAGATCGAAACATCCCCGAATATCTTGATCCTATCTCCCACGAATCATCCTTTTTTATCGATTTCCTGGTTTCTCAATTGTTCATTGTTTGTTCTAAGCACTCACTTTATATTTCAGATTTGCAACTCTGTGGGGTTTTTCAACCTCTCAAGGTCGAACTGGGAGAGCGAGTGTTGATTGCCGTCGGTTTGTTATGGCGTAAGTCCCTGTAAATTTTCTCATTTACCTACGCACTGCAGTGAATTATAATTAGTTATTTTCGTCCTGTGGGCTAAGACTAATGGGCACAGCTATCTTATGCTCACATATGCTTAGTTGCTTTCAATAAGTAGATCGTCGGTTTTATATTGGTGAAAGTGATCCGACTTGTTGTATTCGTCCTCCGGGGCGGTTTCCATGTTGTTCGATTCTTGAAAATAGCTTAAAGTATGGTGCGTGAGAGCTTATTATGTTATGGCAAGAGGAAGCTATGTTACAATGTAAAACGTTTGGTTATTAGTTAGCTATGTAGACTTTACCATTGCTCATTTTTGCTCATACAGTGCCACAAATATACCCGATCGATACTTTGAAGGTGCTAGTGATTAAATACTAATAACCGATGTGTACTCTCTACTTCTAAGTTCGTGTTTCTTAACTGTGACAGAACAATGTGAAATGTTGGGTGGCGAGACTGTAGTTTATAGGTGAACTCATCAGACCTAGGGCAACACATCTTGAATTTTAACGCAAAATTCATTCATTTAGGTGGATAACGTTTTGTCATTTTAGCCTATCAGTTCGTGATGAAATCCCTGAATTTAATTCCTAACCCTAACCATCAGTTGTAAATCATAATCCTAACACCGGTTTATGATCGTCATTTAACCCTGGTAAGTGGGTAAAGATCCCCAAGGTCACTTCGGCGTCGCTGGAAGGTCGTTTATAAATTATAGTTTCACCGATGGAATAATAAAAATCGTGATTTGGCAATGAAATTAGGATTTAAGGGAATATGGAAAAGTTATCGCGGCTCTACTGACTTTGGATCATTTTACTCAGTGTCCCTCCCCATAAATCACGACTTTTTAAAGCCATAACTTTAACATTCCTAAATGAATCAAGCTAGTAGTCAATGTTTTTATATATTGTTGTGTATTGATCTCCCCCTTTTGGTTTAACTCAGGTCTTACCGTCAATATTATCCGTTTAGATTAGAACTGACAAAAGGTATCGTTTTTCAGATATTAGAGAACCTGTTTTGTTAAGTTTGGGACAGTACTTCTGTATGAGTTTTCTCCGACATGGTTAACGAATATGTAGTTAGATTATGTACTCCGGGGAACTGCATTCATTTTTCATTAGACAAAATCTTGGTCTTGACACCAAGGTCTCGTCTGAATTTTTCCCACGTGTAGTCTTTAGTAAATTCAGGGGGGGGGGTCATACGCGATTTCATAAAGCTATAACAAGAAAAATGAAGTCACCCCAGGTTAAAGATTACTTACAAATTACTTTATTTTTATTAATTTTACGTTGTTTCCTTATTGTAGTGAGTGTGCCGTGGCCACAGCAAAAGCAAATGTTATGCTGTATGATTCGAAGGCTAGTACTTGGATCCCCAGTGGTCCAGGACATGGCATTTCCAAAGTTCAACTATATCACAACACGTTAACTAATGCTTATCGAGTTGTCGGTTGGAGGTTACCAGACCGTGAGGTATGGCCTAATTTTCCCGAAAAGTTCCTAAAAAACAAAAATTTTTTAAGCCTAGTTAGAGATTTTGGTAAAAATCTTTTCATTTTCTGATTATAAAGCAGTAACCTTATCTTTTAGAAGTTTCTATCATTGAACGATATCGTTCCAGTAACCTTATCTAAACAAAGATAAAAAAAGTCATTATATCTAATTCATTTTTAACGGTTACTCAAATATTCTTGCTATCAGTGTTAAGGACTTCAAATGACAGGTCCCTTATAGCATATATGCATCCTGTGAGTATCTTCTCAACACTTACTTCAAATCACTATATCTTCCTTGATTTGGTTCATCAATCTCTTATTGAGGTTATTCCAATGCTTTTTGCATATCCATGTATATTGTGTATCTACCTATCACTTCAGAAAACTAGTATTTATCACTTTACTGATTTAATTTGGTTTTTGATATCATTTAGTTATCGTCCGATATAATTTACAGACATTCATCTATGTACTCGGTCGTTATGACCAATACTAATCCAACTTCCTTTTCAGGTCCCTCAAGATGTACTCAGTTGAGCCTACGTGGCACAACTTCCGTAATTTTGAAGCGAGCCACCAATCCTCTCTTATTTTTAAAAATAAAGTTAGTAGTCATAAACATTTGAAAGTCAACTAAGTGACTGTGCTAAAGTATTAAAACCCGTTGTCAAAATGACTGCGGTATTACACTTATCTTTCTAACCGATATCAATGTTCAATGAGGACTGTTTATGAGACCAAAACAGTTTTCCTAATAACTCCCAAATTTTTTTATAGCCATCTTATTTTATATCACACTGATTTATTTATTATAACTTATTACCGTTACTAACCTCTGTGTATATATGACTTTTAGGTTGTTATTAATTGTGCCATTGCACGGGGGTTAAAATATCACCAAGCACGTCCAACGTTTCATCAATGGCGTGATAGTAGACAACAAGTTTACGGTTTGAATTTCACATCAGTTGAAGAAGCAGATGCATTTGCTGCCGCTGTTAAATCAGCCTTAGAAAGTCTAGCCGCACTGCATTGTCAACAGGCTTTACAAACTCAACAACAACAACAATGTAAGCCTCCTGTTACTTATGATCAGGTAGTGTCTAACGAAACAACAACAACAACTACTACTATTTATCAAGATACACAACTAAACCAATATCAACAATCAAAATACCAAATACCAAATCAACAGCCATCATCAAATCAAAAAATAACTAAATATACTAATGATAACAACCAGGCACATTCTGTACAACCTACGGGAATATTAGTCCAAAATCTTCAGATTTCATCCTCTGTAAGTGTGTGTGTGTACGTTTTTTGTTTCTCCACTTTTCAATTTTATAACCTCTCATATCCAGTCATAACAATGATTGTATCATCTGGTCAAGGTATACCTTCTTCTAGAGGTTAAAGTTACGGTTACCTACCCAACGAAGTGGGTAAGCTCCATAGCTCTTCGAGTAGGGAAAAGCCTTGAAAAGACAATGCGACTGGATACTGGAGGATAGGTGTATATAAGGATATTTTACTATCACTTTCGGGAGTTTTTTTCAAATCAAAGCGCTAATGAGCTACTAATAAGTTCACCGGTGGAGAAACGTGGAAAAATATCCTCAAGTATGCTTCATACGCATATATTCAAATGCAGGTGTCATAGATACACAAATTCCAGCGATATATATATATATATATTGGTATAGATAAGCGCGGTTGCTAGTATGTTGTACATGTAATCATAGAAAGTGTAAGCATGTCCGTACCTCCCACAAATACACACAGGTATAGAAGTTTCCGTTTGCAAATATACGATACATGCGTATATAGAATGCATAAACCAAGGCCCATACACTCCAAAGTATACATATATGCGAACACTCCAAGCCCCTAAGTCCAGCATCATTTTCACTGGATGAGTATCGAGCATTCACATCAGTGTGAGTCGTTATAGACGATGTTCCACTTCACACTCTTACCGTAAACCGGTTTATTGTCGACCACGGTGCACTAGTTATGACACATCTTATGGTTTACACTCCGACTCGCCCCTGCTGGACCTTATTGGCCCTTCCAGTCTAGCCTGTTCAGGCACTTAAAGGAAAATGTTCTCCAATGTCTCAACCGTACTATCAATTTAAGTCGACCTCTCTTCTCATATAATCAAGGCTGAGACAGTGGGCTAATAGTCTTGTCTCTGTCCGACTACGGAGTGGTTGATCAGTCCAGTCTCCGCAGTGTCACTTGCGTGGGGAAGATCACCCACCATCCAAGGAGCACTATACGGAAGTGCAAGTCCAACTTTGTACCCCTTCTTAAGGTTGGACCATTAGAATGAAAGATCCTTGAGGCTTTGAGAAATTTAATCAGTTTCCGTTCAGTTATTTTCATCACCTTTAAATAAGAAGACATTAAAACTCACTAGCCACCATTGAAAACCTGAAAGCACCAAACAGTTTTTTCGTCCTGGTATGGGACTTCAGGTAGAAGTTTGCGCTGATGATGTCGTCCAGAATAACGATGGAGGCTCCACGACCAAAACTTCCCGCTCAGAGAACGAAACTCCTAAATTATCCACCTGAGTTACAAATCTTCACTACCTCAAAGTAGTATGGGACTCCTCGGCAGTGCGCCGAATTTGAAGCTGTGACTAATTTTAGACAGTTCAAAGCATTACACTTATGTTGGTCTTCATTTCATCGTCACTTAGCCATAAACAATGTAAAACCCTATTTAAGTATGTACTGACTTAAATTCCCACACTTCACATCAGCACATTTATATAATAGTTCGGTATTGTTAGTTAAACCGATCATATTATCGTACTTAGGTTCTACTTGTGAGTCTTACGGCACTCTTTGATTATTCCACTTTATTGAATAGATCAGAATACTTGTTAAAAATAGATGGAGCGAATAAGGATCAAATACAGTTGTTGACTAGTTCAGGTTGCCAAAAATAACACCGCATTGTGTGGAGACAGCGAACGAGTTAAGCTGAATTTCTTAGTTTCTTAAGCTTCTTAAACTGTTAATCTAATTTTCAAGAAACAAGATACTTGACAAAAAGCTGTCAAATCTCAAGACCAGAATTTATTGATCGTATTCTTTTCAACTATTTGATTTTGCAACAGGCATATATACTCGTGTGAATCACTCACACTTACACCAGTCACCTTCCCTTATATTTCAAATTGCAATGGTCTCCTCTAGCCGTAATGTTATCTAAATTTATAAGTCTGGATTCTGGCTAGCTGGACATTGATTTATAATTCGTTATGTTAGAAACTCTATCATAATCCAACTACATTAATCTGACCATTGAGATGATGTGTTTGCTTATCCCTCTTATCGTAATTTGTCCTATCATTTAGTAAAACTACTTATTGCCAATTGCTGTTATGTTACATTTTCCTTTTAGTTCAATAAAGAACTTTATTTACTTTAACCCAGTATTTTCGCTATTTTTTTCGACTTTTACAATTCTAATATATTCTCTATTATTATCGTTATTATTGTTATTATTATTATTGCTCCTATTATTTACAGGGCATAACTGAACCAACTGAAGGTTACAGCGATCAGAACAAGCCATTATCATCATCGGCGTTATCGAATCAGCAGTCCGATCGAGATGCTTTGTGCAATGATTACAATGAGGCAATTGTAAACAGTGTAAATAGCATTATTTTAAGTGATAATCAGAATGTCTACCCGGGTTATACAACAACAACAACATGTAAAACTAATACCTCTAGTCATCAGAATACTGAAAGTAAGTTTTCATTGTTGGTCTTTGAATTTTTGCAAGTACATGTTTATGTGTACACAACTTTTTAGAGAAACCTATTTGTTATTAAATTCAAGTTTAATTATTGATCTGCTATAATAATAGTGGTAATAACAATCCTGTACTTAGTATTTCATGATAATTTATGGGAGATCCTGTTAACATTTATCAGCCAAGGGTATACTTGTTAGTTCAATTTGCTTACCATAGTTTGGGCGTCATTATTATTATTACTAATATTACTATTATTATAAGTGGTAGTAGTGGCAGCAAAACAAATATTATGCGTTCGAATCCCAGAAATTAAGGTGGTAGCTGGAGGTAGTCAATAGGAAACCCAGAAGTTATATAAGCATTCGTGTTTGGTAACTTATTTCACAACTATAGCTTAGTTTATTTTTTTAAATATCAGAAAAGATGTTGTATTAGTATGTCACTGTTTTTTGCTGGAAGAAAGCTAGGGACAGTCAAACGAAAATGTGACCTCAGTCTATGAAGTCATTTGCTGTTGGACTGATACATTTTAGTAGGTGTAGACTACTTGTATTTGGGTCCTCAAGATTATTGTAACCAATGGTTGGGTACATTGGCTGACATAATATTAATCAATCCTAATGGCATTCATGCATTAACTCTTCGTTTTCCCCCTTACATTTAATCCTGAAATTGAATGCTTTTTTGCGCCTCTCAAAACTTAATATTTTCTGCTGCCACTACTATTGATACAGTTACCACTTCTACTACTCTGAGATATGGATTGGTAGTTTGGTCTTTTTGTGCCAACCTATTGTGGCTATTTAAACATGTGCACATATATGCAGATTCTACGTTTTATACGACTGACTGACTGATAAGTGTCTACAGAACTCTAATTTAAAATTAAATTGAAAATGTAACCATGGCGAAAACGTTCTTTTTTGCGATGCATTTTCTGGTGTCGACATATTATCGGTTATATTATTATTATTAACAAATGATAATTGATTTAACTCAAAATACATTAGAGAAATGGTTATAATTGTCAAAAATAATTGGAGTATAATAGTATATGTAAACATGAATTACAGGTCATCAAAGGGGTAGGGATTCTCATTCTATTGACCGGTTCTTTTTTAATATAATTCAACTACTAGTCAAGTCTCGGTGCTACTCGGACAAATTTACTAAATTGTCACACAACATGAAATATCTCTTTTGTTGTGTAGTTAAAGCTAAGGGAACATTGTTGTAACATATTTCAAAATGATGTTGGACATATTTTTTCAGAAAAAAAACGTGTGGTTAATGTGAAAACTAGATAGCAAACTAGAAAATTATATAAGAATTCCTGAAATGCTTAAATAAGTGATAAGGAATATTCGTGCTTTCATAATCATAGTAATGGTAATAACAAGGATTTTACCTTTATTCATCACTAACATATCAAGTTATGTGAAATTCATAAGCGCATTATGATTGTATTCTGTTTCATTGATTATATCAAAGAATCACACTAACTAATTTATCAATTAACATAAATTCTGTAGACCAAACGAGAAGAATCTATATTATTCAACATTAACTCAAAGAGTAAATGTTGTTTCAGTGTGCATAAGGTTTGAACCTCTTAAGCGACTAATTAACGATTAGTTTCAAATCAATAGTAAAACAGTTGAATGCTGCTTCCTGTTTTCTCACAGTTGGTGAAATTCTGTATTTTACCTAACATTCACACTGATTCTGAAGGTCATCCATATTCACGTGGTAACTTCCAAAATGCTATTTTTGTTTAAAACATTTATAATAGATGAGTTCCTTCATTTAGGTGTTCTAGATAGTCTTTGCATAGAACTTATATTATAATGTTGTATTGTTACTGTTACTGACCTCCTGTATATTTATGTTTCTAGCGTTACTTTGTTTTTATTCTAATGACTAAGGCATCTACAAACGGAATTTTGTTTATTATTTCTTCCTCTCTTATTGTTGTTATCGAAGATGACGTCCACAATTAACTGATGAATATTTCCAAATTGTTCTCTTATATATAGGATAAATTTTTTTTATTTATGTAGTTTATCCTGATTGATTGATCAACTGACATACGTTGCAGAAATTAGAAGAACTTACGCTACGTAACATCCCATGATTTGTTAGTATTGTCTAACAGAGACAAAAACATGTGAAGTACAGATACAGTTAAACTGAGCTTAAATTAATGTTTTTGTGCATTGTGTTAGATAACTTAGGTCAAATGACTAATTAAACAAGAAGAGACACACGAGCTGGTAGGATAATCTGACGAAAAATAGAGAAATTAAGTCGATTACTGTTAAGCAGATGATCTATCTTACATATATTGATGTCATTGTTGTTGCGTTCCAATTTCTTCTCAATTCACTCAACAATTCTATATCCTTATTTCTTCTTTTTCTGTCTAATTATGTTTTGTAAACTTTCTGTCGTTTCTTTCGTTGATCTTTATTGATAGACTTCTTAGTTTTGGTAGGTGAATCAAATGAACAAGTTAATAAAGCAAACAGACCAACATTTAATATATCTAGATTGAAACAGCCCTTTTTGTGTGTTGGAGGTAATTGGCAAGATATCCTTCTCAACCTAGGTTTCGTGTTTCCCGATACTGGCCAGCAAGGTGTACCTACAACCTATTGCTGTCTGTGTGAGATTTGAACTTGCGTCACCCAGCTTCATAGTCTGATGTATCACCACTGAGCCAGTTGGCATACGAAACTTAGGTTTTGCGTTTTCTACCGACTGTCTTCAATCACCTAACATAATGGATACGATGTCAATTTGCATAGATTAGTGGTTGCTTTGTAACTTCATAGAATTTAATCAGTACTAAAGGAATTAGAAAAAAAGTAAACTTGATTTGTACTCGGTGCTAAACCATTTGTTTCTTTTTGTGTTAAAAGAACAACATCGAATACAATTTTGTTTATTTTGTAAGCAATTCTTTTAATATACCTTAATTTACTCTGATTATTCACTGAATAGCAATTTAAAGTATGTCTGTCTAGCCGTCGGTGTTGGACGAATTTTATAGACTATTTTCAATTTGAAACCACTGGTAGCGTCTGAAACCTTTATATTACGTAATGAATGGTTGAATTTTACGGGGAGCGTTAATTCTCACGAGATTACAAATACAGTTTGCTAAGTTTTAACTAACATGATAACTTCTCACTGATCGTTAGAAATTCATCTGGACTTAGAACTGCTTACTGAGGAATTAGGCCTGAAGGAAACGTTAATACAATATAGACGAGAGATGTATTTCGAATGAGACTCACCAATTCATAATCTAACACTTTGTTCATATACAACGTCAACAATTTGTAACAAATATGTGGGTCGTTATGTCAATGTTTGCATATAATTAAATAGTACGGACAATAATTAGAGCAATTATTTACCGGCTAATTTTTTAGCTTCGCAGATTCGAACTCCACTCCATCGGTTTAGGGACCCAAGTAATATCAGTAGTGACTTTTAGACACTGAAATGTGACTGAAGGCTAAGTACATAAGCTCATATATGTGGTAAACGATTTATATATTAAATTAGAGATACTACTTATGAGTCCAACCATTGAATTGTATCTTCTTAATACGTGGTTGGCGACTTCGCATGATATGGCTAAGAATCGATCGCAGTAACACAGATGAATTCAATCTTTACCGTACTCTTAATCTCAAAGTCCAAAATACGTTCATATATGTCTTTCCAATTTGTCTTGTCAAATCATATTTCCATAATTTAGTCTTGCTTTTTATCACTCGTGTTACATTATTTTGATCTCTTTTGTTATTTTCATGTCATTGTCCTATGGGACCTTAATCAAGAATATCTGAACCAGACTCTTTGTTGGTGTTTTCTGTTTGTCTTGATTATTTTATTATTCTCTGTTTTAAAACGATTGTACAAACTGTTTGGAAATGCACAATATTTTCCGAAAATTCAACTTGAATCAACCAAAAAGAGAGGCTATATTGAGGCAATACGCACAGTATGCACATATGGCCAATAAGAGACTGATCAATTACAGTCCTAAACATCAATGGGAAGATTCAAACAAACAAAACCAAGTGAATTTAAAACTTCACCCCATTACACAAGCAAGTGGCTATCAGGATTCAGTAGCTGAATGGATAACGAGATGGCGTTTGTAGCGAACGGTACTGGGTTCGAGTCCCAGAGTGAACATCAACTCTGAGATGCAGGTACATCCAGCTGACGAGTCCCGAATAGCACGAAACACGCGTCCTGGATTCCACTGCTAGCCACTATCCATCTTTGCTTATAATGCTTGTTGATTAAGGCTATATCGAGGCAATCCGCACAGTATGCACATATGCATATAAGAGACTGACCATTTGCAGTCCTAAACATCAATGGGAAGATTCAAACAAACAATACCAAGTGAATTGAAAAAGAGAGTTGTTTATTTTGTTTACAGTCACTGTTTTTAATTCTACATAGATACAAATAATTTATAAACTTTTATCTAGACTAGTTTAAACTGTACTAAATTATCCAACTCATTGTTTTATGATGTACACTTATTATTAAATGTTGAATATTTTGTTTGTTTGTTTATAAATAGTAGTTGTTATGTGATAATTGTTCTCTTAATTGGTATTTAAATTGTTGTCTAGCTTCAATTGACTCATGATTTCAACTGTGAAAATACTAAATTCTCCACAAAAAAAACCCCTCTGATCTATAATCATATGCTCACTAGTGACTGACTTCAAGAGATATTTCCTTGAGTTCTAGTGGGAAGCAGTGGCCAGTGGAGTTCTACCAGGTCTGTTGTAGAGATATCATCTCACTGAAGACAATTGGTGAACGGTCGCTCAAAATCGTGGATTGGTTAAAATTAGACATTAACACCATTGGATTCCGGCTCGGTGATCTATCGGTTAAGGGCTTCGGCTCGAGACTGGTAGGTCCTGGTTTCGAATCTCGCGGGTGCGGGATCGTGGATGCGCACTGCTGAGGAGTCCCATAATAGGACGAAGCGGCCGTCCAGTGCTTCCAGGTTTTCGATGGTGGTCTAGTTTCAATTGACTCATGATTTCAACTGTGAAAATACTAAATTCTCCACAAAAAACCCCCTCTGATTTAAATTGTTATTAAACGATATATATATATATATATATATATATTCAATGTATTATCATCTTCATTTTGATTACATAATATATTCGTGTTTTGTTTTGGATAATGATTGCATATCATATGATTTATATAATAAATAATTTATTACATTTATTTTTATATTTAATTGTTTTGTTTAAAATTACACCATTCATTTTATAGATGTTAATAATCGATCTATTATATAATCAAGTAGTAAGTGTTCATCATGAACATAAACTTTACTTACTTACTTACGCCTGTTGCCCCTCGTGGATGAGCATAGGCCGCACACCAGTTTTCTCCATCCAACCCTGTCCTGGGCAATCCTTTCCAGTTGTTTTTCATCCTTTTCATATCTACTTCTGTTTCCCGGCGTAATGTGTTGTTCGGCCTTCCTCTTTTCCGCTTCCCTTCACCATTCCAAGTTAGGGATTGCCTTGTAATGCAAATTGGTGATTTCCTTAATGTATGTCCTATCCACTTCCAACATCTTTTCTTAATTTCCTCTTCAGCTGGAAACTGGTTTGTCCTCTCCCATAAAACGTTGTTGCTGATGGTATACGGCCAGTGAATGTTGAATATTTTTATTGATGATATTGTGTAGAAAGACAATATAAAGGTCATATATAGATCACCGAATGCAAAAAGCTCAGTTTTAACAAAGTATAGACCTTAGTCACTAAATCAGCATCTAAATGTAATCTCAGGAAATTATGTTATGTATTTTATAAACTGGTTTTCTCATTATATAATACTGAAATGAAATTCGTAACCAATTTGTTGTCTTGAAAAGCGTTTGTTAATTTGTCTACATAGTGTTTCTTAGTATCTCTTTTTTATATGTTGGTCGACTACAAACTACCATAGTTGATGTCCAACTGATATTACCGTCAAAGGAGTATTAAAAACTTACAAACTATTTGTAATCAATTACGCCTCAATGATATGCTAAATTCTGATGTAATTTACGCTAGTAAACCTAATTGTTTATTTTATACAATATTACCGATAAAAGTGTAGTGGATCTCAGGCAAACTGGAATTAGTAGCTTGCTAAGGTCAAACGTTATTAAACATACTGATAAAGCATGCCTAGTTCATAATATTCTATATCTCTACCAGTCAAAACATTACTAAAAATGAATAACTTCTCTTCTGAGATTCTAAGTAAACAAGCAACCTTCGATTTACTTGAGATGTGAAACGTCGAAATTCAAAATGCGGGGAGGGGGGGCTAAAGAACTCGTTTTTCAACCAGTTGGTCATAGAGATTCAATCTTGACTCCACTTATTTCGGTTTGGCTATAACCGAATGGTGTCATGGTTAGCCTTCAAATAATTCAATTATGACTTAAAACCTAGTACTTTAACTAAGCTGTTAGGTGAATGAGTTTGGTGAAGATTTGTAGCTCAGGTGGATGATTTTGATGGAGTTATGTTCTCTGACCTGGATGGTTTGAGTTTGCATAAAAACTGAAATCAATTTCATTGTATAAGTTGCAGCAAAGCAATTATTCATCTTTATCATATCATAGGTTGTATCATTTAGTAATAGCAATAACAGATTACATTTCACAGTTCTATGTGTATTTGATAAATCTACTGATTGAACACCTGAATCGGTTTCCTAAGCTCTTCTAGTAACCCCAGGCTAAATTTACGAGACAACTTAAACACGAGAGAAAAGGCGCAAAATATGGAAAGAACGCTTCACTGCAAGGTTAGTTTATGTACAGAAAACTGAGAGTTTTTATAGCAATTCGGATGGCTTTGCGCTTCTGGAAGGTTCTGCGATCACACTGATAATAGGAGTAAGGCACATAGTCATCCAATCAGAAATATGACTCGTGACCCTCCATTTTCTCGATGTTTCTGAGAAACCACTATTCAATTCTGACTGGATAAGATGTTTTCCAGCGTTTTCAGGGCCCCTCTGGGCTTTTTTCGAGGAATATTCTGGATCACCCCAACAGTATTATATACATATGTTTTAGAAAGTGTTAGATATTATGTTTTTAATTCTTGATTATTACATTTTCCCCTTTTTCCCTGTTTCTAATTTTAATAATTTATTGGCTTTAACATTTTCATTATTTACTGGTTCCCATGTCCCATTTTGTATTACAAATAGTTTCGCATCTTAAATCATCAATGGAACAAAATGTATCCACGATAAATGGTTGTTCAATGAATGGTAATACAGAACATGGTGTAAATTGTGATTCACCGTAAGTGTTGTTTTTTCCCCAAAAAGTTATTGTTCTTAAGATGATGAATATTAATGCAAAAATGTTGATCGATTCAATTATCCAATGTTCTTTCTTTACTCTATTTAATTCATTAATATTTTGGAGGCTATATGGGCATTTGTTTGAAATCAACGTTTCCCAATTGCATTCATCGGGGTGTTTGTGTGAACACAATCGGTTTAAGCGTTGAAATTCCACTTTCCAAATTTCACAGGAGCAATCGTATTCCGTAATGACAGTAAATAAAACCCTCTCATATAAAATTAGGCTGTGGTTGTGCTGTTGTATGAGAATATATTAAGAAGGGACGTGAACTCTCCTTGGCCTTTGTGGTAGCATAACATACAATAATTTAGCATAGTTTGTTGAATTTCAAAATAGTCTAAAAAGGATATGTAGAGAAAAAGAAGATACAGGGGGATGAGAGTAGAAAAGAAACATTAGCTCAAAAAATAGGATATAAAATTCTAGGTTAGGGTAGAAAATAAATATGTATCTACTCTTCGCGTCGGTTCTTCGACCACACCATCAATTAAAATAAGTATAGGTGAATTGAACGTTGGTTGATTGAATTGGTTTCGCTTCAACCAAATCTTTATCATATAAGTTGCCTATCACAAATTATTTATTCTACCTAATTTATATAATGAGTATAAGAAGTATCGACTCAAAATTCACAGCATAGTAGTTGAAAGTAAACTGTTTTGAGAGTATTGTCACACCGGTTAGTTCTGTGGGTATAAGTGCTTATAGGAAGTAGTTAGCCACTTTGTTGAGCTAATTCTCTTTTTTAGGTACTAAAAGATTTAGAGGAAGATCATAGTGACAGAAATTGCCGTTCTTACACATAATACATTCAACCACTTCACAAATATTTGTAGTAAATCCATATCACTTTTTATAAAGTGAGAAATTCAATTTTCCTTCTTACAATAATTGATTATCTTAAATACATTTTTAATAGAATACGTAATTTTGGCCATGATAGTTGTAGAATTTAAAAGGCAGAGAAATAGATAGACATATTGGGATATAGAGAGTTATTCAAGATAAAACTTTGCTAGTGTTGCTAACACCCTTCTCCGTTTTATTCTACTTGTTCTTCACTCAAGTTATTTGATTACTCTTATTATCATTATAGTAGATTTCTAGTTTAGAAATTAAGGTGAGGAAGAAAAAATGAGGATGACTGACATATGTGAAATGGGGATATATATATTCATTTATATCAAGGTAATGTCATTAATTAAACTGAATGTGATTTACTTAAGTATTTGTACAATCTCTGTACATATTGGCTATTCTGATTGGTATTTGAACGTATCAATAAATCTACGCCTTTGCTTTAATATTTATTCATTTTGATTAATTAACAATGCTACAGGCAGCTGATATGTGTATCCAAGTTATCATCTAATTCAATAAATTCTACATAAACTGCCTAACCAATATGTGATAGTTTCAAGTATTGGACTTGTATTATTACTATTGTTATTATTAAATGTTTTCTTTAGTGGAGATCAAATGTTTCATACATATATGTATAGTTTCAATTTTAGTATGAATAATCAGTATATGATATAACAATATGTTTTAGTGGCTACATATTCAGGGTCATCTAAGCTGCTATTTCTATCTGTTTTATGTATGGGAGTTGTGCATTATCTGATTACTTAAATAGTGATCGACTTGGAATACGCAGATGACATAATCCTGTTTAGTGAAGACGCTGACAAAATGCAGGGTGTTTTGGTAACACTGAGTAACAATGCAAGGATATTTGGGATGCGTTTCTCCACCTCTAAATGTAAATTATTGCTTCAAAACTAATCTGCGTCAACACTTGAACTAAGGATAGGGAGTGAAGTGAGGTTAGACACAGGGTATTAGGGAATGATGGTAAGTCAATTGATGCGAATGTAAATCTTTATCAAATCTTTACGTATGCCTGGTAATATACGTGTGTTATTTGTATTCAACAGTATAAGTCCTCATAGATTCGTTTATTATCTCGTTTGTTCTAATTCTTTTCCATTATTTTGGAGTATTTCTTTTTGACTGAATAGATTTTATGAATTTTCGATTTGATTTAAGCTTGTTGTTCTTTCGATTTTACTGTGCACATACATATTTCAAAGAGTAGTGAACAGTCAGATTCTGATCACTTGGTTTCAATAATATTATATCCTGGGTGAAAACTGCGGGTTCTGAGTTCGTATGTCTAAGTGGATCATATGTGCTTAAGTGTTGACGGGTCCTCAAATCAGAACGAAACACTTGTTCAGTGCTTCACGGTTTTGAATGATTCTATAACTTATAAGTTTACTATAACAGACTAGACCATGTCAATCAAGTCATATTTATGTTTAGTCTAGAAATATGCCTGATTTTAATTCATTTTTAGCTTGTACTTTTGCAGTGCCTTTGTTGTCAATCATTTTAACCTTATGTACCATTGATTGTCTCATTGCTATCGTTTCAACTGTGCCAAATACGCACGTGGTAATAGTTAGTGAATACGTGAATTGGAACATATAGAATTGACATATTATGCAATATGTAGTACGAAAATTTAAATTAAAAGTTGATGGTTGATAGTGGTCACACAAGAATGTAATTAAAAACTATGTAAAAAGGAAGAATACAAGAGGAAATTTTAAAACTTTGTCGATAAACAAGAATTCACTCGTAACTCCTAAGATAGGGAAAGGGGTTCTACAAATATCTTATAAGTGCCTAATTTTGGTCTGTTGAGGTAAATAGTGATGGATTCCGTTGTATATAAAAGACGTCTTCATGTAATCCTCGATGACAGAATAGATAGTGTGATTGATCCCTCGAAATCCTTTCTTTATTTCTGTTTGATCTCCCGTATCTGTTGAGTGATCAAGTGTAAAGGTCTAAATCGGCCTTAATTATTCCATCTTCTTAAATAATTATCATTGACATTTCACTTGTCAACAATACTGTGTAGATTTTCACATTAAATATTATTACATAACATGGAAATTCTATAACTATGCAATCCATTTGATTGATTTATTTTCATTTTGACAACTTGAACCAATGCATTTCTGGTGTTAAGCTTTACGTTGATATTGACTAACTAATAAGTGATTGTATTTATCGTTCAATAAACATTAGTGTTTAAATGAGACTAAAAGAAGTATGTACGCCTAGCATTCATGTGATAAAGTGGCCAGTTTTAGATTTGTACGTTATTTCTTTTGTTCACGGAGACTAGTGAAATAATCTGATTTGTTGTCTTAATAAGATGGTGGTTGGAGGTGGTCAACAGGAAACCCTGGACCCGGGTTTCGTACTACTTGGCACTCGTCAGCAAGGTGTACCTGTAATCCTGAGGGAACTGGTGCTCCCTAACGGATTCGATCCCGTGTCACTCAGCTTCACAGTCACAGACGTTACTACTGAGCTATTCGGACCGTGACCGACCTCTTATAGGACTGAGATCTAATCACAATTGATTGATCATTGGGTGGTGATCAATGTCATGCGTGTCAAGTCCTTCTTATGTCTGATCGAATGCTATCGAGTGACACAGGATCGAATCCGTCAGGGAGCACCAGTTCCTTCAAGATTACAAGTACACCTTGCTGACGAGTGCCAAGTAGTACGAAACCCGGGTCCAGGGTTTTCTGTTGACCACCTCCAACTACCATCTTATCTCAAAATAGTGCACGCAGTGTCGAGCCACCTAGACTAGTGGTCACATTGCAACTTGATCGATAGCATTCGATCAGCACTAAGAAGTACTTGACACGCATGACATTGATCACCACCCAATGATCAATCAATTGTTGTCTAAATATTTAGCCATTAGTATAATGAATCTGATCTTACACGTGAACGATCTATACTTGTACTTATATTACATATCCCTTAAATTCTTAACAAATGTACTTTTCAATTGTACTCTGACTATTTACAAAAATGTAGATCTTTGCTTTCTAATGTTTTATTCATAACATTTATATTTATATTTATTTATTATTTATTTTTTCTTAATGAATACTAATTAGATAGGTTATTATATATTCAACTATATTGAATTTAATTTTTCTAAATTTTATTTTTTATCGTAAATGTTGATTTAATTCAAATCTCTTTTTGAAGTTTTTTAAAATTATTTTCAATGAGTTAGTTTCTCATTTATTTGTTATATCACTGAGTAGATTTTTTTTAAGAAAAGAAACTAAAATTAACTTATTCACCAAATACTTGAGTATGAGCCAATCAACTTATGTCACCCTATGACGAAGACGAGATATCTGTCTATCAATTAAGGGACGAGTATACTGCGCAACAGTTCGCTCTGTTCTAATTTAAGGCTGTGAAACATGACCATTAAGAGATACTTGTAAGTTACTAGTATTTCATCACAGATGTCTTAGAAATATTGCTCGCATCTGCTGGGATCAGCGGCTAAGTAATAGTGAGGTTAGACACAGTGTATTAGGGAATGATGGTAAATCAGTTGATGAGGTGATGAATCTTCATCGACTGAGATGGTTGGGCCATGTGTTACGTATGCCTGAACACCGATTACTACGACGCGCAATGCTGACTAGTATTGGGGAGATTTAGGGGTGGCCAAACCAAAACGTGGCATCAATCCATAAAGTTACTAACTTCTAGTCTTAGCCATGTTGGTAGATGCAGACTACTTGGTTGGGGTCTGCGCGACTATCGTAACCAATGGTTGGAGACTGAGTGACATGGCTAAGAATCGGTCACAATGGCGTAGGTGTATACACTCTTTATCTTCCTTTAAACCTTGAGACTAAAATTGCTTCATATCTCTCTTCCTTCCTGACTGAATACTGTACAGCTACTTAAACTGATGTAAATAGAATGAAGTTTGAACTTGGTACTTAGTGGTTAAAAGTCGAACATCTTAAATATTAAATCACTGTTCTACTGTAAAATATAAAATTACTTTTTAACAAATTACTATTTAATGAATGTCTTATTAGAGGTTTATTTTCTTCATTTATTATTGTTAACTGGAGAACCATAGAAAATTAAAGAGAATTAATCAGACTTTTCATCCTAGTTTTGGTCTTCTCTTTTAGTGTTCATCTTGCTGTGCTCACGAGTTATGGTAGCTTGAACCGATGCATATGTGTGCCTGGTCCTTCATTAGTTCACACGCCTACGACCTCGTATATGATCGAAAATAATACATCAACGTCTCTCTTGTAGCAAACATGTTACTTTTTCACAACTGGATCGGGATTCACTAGTTCACATTTGTAACTTCAGTCAATTCCATTAATGTTCGTCCGATATCATCGTTGATATTTGAAAGTCATCGGTCAAAGCTCCACATTAAAACCTAGAATTCATCTCTAAACCAACCCCTAGTTTACGTATAGGGAAAAAAGCTTAGAATGAGTAGACAGAAACAAGGTGAAAAGTAGTCTAATGGTTGAGTATTCATTGCGAGATCTTAGAGTCTTAGGTTTGATGAATGCACACTGCCAAGAGGTTTCATACTTGGACGAAACATTCTATCCAAAGCTTATTTGTTTTGTTGGGGTGCTGCCTCAATGGTTAGGGCGCTTTACCTTCAGCCACTGAGTTGTGTGTTCGTACCCCTCTCTATCTAAGTTGGTTTGGTCAACACGATAGTATCACTAGCCTCCATAATTAGAATGACTCAAATCCAAGTAGTAAGTTAATTAATAAATACCAGCTGGATAGTATCACATTCTCTGTTTCTTAACTCTACATGGCTTAGCATTTGACTATTTATAGATTAGACTATGAAACTTTAACTGAGCATTTGAATTGTGCTATTTTTTAGGATGAATTTAGACTTCTTAGTTTTTTTTTCTTAAAAAATAGGTATTATTCATCTTCAGACGATAGTGTACGTAATCTTCGTGGTCTCCCTAATGGATCCAATGAACCTCATTTGAATCCAACTTCATTCGTGACGTCAAATGCTTCCAATTTTCCCAATAACAATGTTAAACCATTAGGTGGAAATTCAGATGAATCTTCTGTTACTACCAGGTCTCTTTCACCAAATCAATGTGAGTTTATAATTAAAAGTGTATTTTTATCACTACTAAGTAGTTACTAATGTCATATTATGTAGTCCTTAGCTGTCATCTACGTACATTGATCATAGTGCAATGTGATCACTAGAGCATGTAACTCGATTTGCTGGCGCACTATGATTAGATGTTGGTTGGCTAAATGTTTCGCCATAGTCGCCACTTATCAACAAGATGTTTCTTTAATTCCAAGTTAATAAGGCTTCCTACTTTGACATCATTTTCCCTAAGATTTCAGGGAACACTGTGTTGATATACTCCAACCTACGAGAAATCTGATTTCAAAGCTACCCACAGATTCTCTACTACTATCATTTAAACATATATCGAACTTCATAGTCCTATGAAAGCATGTGTGTGATTTACCCATATTTTTCATGCTTCAAGTACTTACCACCCTGCCTTTAACCAAGTGACGTCAATTGTTGATGATCACATATAAATATTACATTTATTTAGCCGTACTATTTCACATGTTAGCGTAATATTGCTTGACACCGTTATTGTAATAAATATTTATTTAATTTTGATTGAGTTCTCTTGCATCCCATAACCATAGTGACATTTTAGTGGCAATAACTCATCAGTTATTGTAACACTTATTTAGTTTCGATTAAAGCTCACAACATAAGCGATAATCATGCAATTTATTATTCTCACATACATTGATTTTCCACTGAATAGTGACCAATGTTGAAAAGAGATCCCTTCGCTGAACTTCGTGTTTTTAATTTTTCATGCTTAAGTGAGAATCATCTGTTAATGTAATATTTGTTTAGTCCTTAGTGTAAGTCAATTTCTAACGTTCAAGTTGCAATATGGCTATCAGTATAAATGACTCGACATCTCAAATAACCCTGTACTTAGGTTTCCTACTATTTGACACTTAACGACAAGGCGTAGTTGCTACATTGATGGAACTAATGCTCACTATGACTGTGACTCCCTCACTCGGCTTCATGGTCTGAAGCATTCTTACCGAACTATTCGAAGCCTCTTGTAGGACTGAGATTTTTCAACAATGACTAACCATCTTTATCACACTTGCCTTATTGACGAGTCCCAACTAACTCAAAATCTAGGTCCAAAGTTTCCTGTCTATTAACTTCAACTACCCTTTACATTAAATAGTTTTTATATTTGTGATCACGTACAAATTTATGTAGACAAGAATTTAACCATTGATATCAAGTTACTATGTTGATTATTGTAGCACGATGTGTAATTTCGACAAAAGCTGAAACAATAAAGCTATTAGTATAATTAAACTAAATCATAATAAATGTATCATAATATTGACACAATCAAATAATAAGCAAGTGTGAAAGCATGTAACAGAGTTTATTACTACTAAAAAAACTTTTACAACGTACGTCCTAGCTGATTGCAGAGTTCATTGATTAGAAAAGTATAAGATAATTCTGCACTTCAGTATCTTAAAGAAGATGAAAAGGGAATGCATCTGAGTCATTGTGACTGATTATTAACAACGTCACCAATCCTCCCCTGACAGTCAACACTAACCAACATGGCTCAGTCCAATAGTCATTCTTTTAATGATTTGATGCCACTAGGGCTTTATTCCTACGTACTGCTACACTAAACAAACTTCGTGCCTCGAGGTAGACGATGATTAGACATACATGACACATATCTTAACCACTCCAGTTGATGAAGATTTACAACCTCAATAAACTGGTATCCCGCTTTTTCTGTTCACTCTGGTGGTCTCAGTATACACAAGCGATGCTTTGAGGGTATTGATGACCAAACGTTAGTTCATTATCCCTCGTACTTGATTAATCAATAATAAAATATTTCAGGACCAAAATCATAAATAACCATATAGAATATGGTCAAAAATGCACAGAACTCTGCTTCAGTTTAAATTGACACAAAATCACAGTAAAGGTAACAATAAACTACTCAGAATAGGACAACATAGCGAAATAAATAATAGGTGTTAACCATTTGATAGAGTATTAGATTTCCGTTTATATTGGATACTTGTCATGAATAACTGAACAATATCAGTTTAATGAATTCTGGTGAAACGATGGTTTTTTGTTCAAAAGGACTTGACTTTTAGATTGTAGGTAGAGAGCTCAACCCTCATTCTACTTTGTTTGAACAGTCAAGTAGTATCGTTATTTCTGACACTAAAAGTGTTTTTGAAGGCCAACTACATAAACCTAGTAAATAAGTTATTGTAAGTTATGACTAACTCATTAAATAGATGAATACATCAACACACGTTCTCACATAAAGCCGTGTAGGTTTCCGTACTACATAGAAGTATAAATACCATAAATAATAGTTTCCAATATTCTTTCTGTGTTTAAGGATTCCCTTTGGTATTTAAGTTGACGAGATCATCTGTTAATTGATTGTTATTGTTATAGGTTTAGCTCACATCTCACAGTAATGATCAATAACTTCCTACGTCTAAAATCTGTTCGTTTCAATGGTTATTTGATTGACATGTCCTTCATGTTACCATTGAGTTTACTGTAAAACATGGTTCTTTACAGTGTAACAGATAGCCATAGTGATTCGTTCTTGACTAGTTCGATCCGTGTTAGATGTGAGACAGCTATCCACCGTGGTCAATGGATAAAGGTTTGTACAAAATCATGGATTAGTTAAAGTTAGACATTAATACCGTTGAAACAGCCTTGCAATTCTTTCAGGTTTCGAATGGTGGGCTAGCTAAGATCAGTTCATTATTTCAACTGTGAAAATACAATCTCCACAAATCCCCCATATTAAATTTTATCTTACAGATTTTCGTTTACACAGGACGCTCGACTTCGTTTATAATTTTTTTTGTAAATTAACCACTAAATAAAGCACAGTGTATGAAGAAATTTTGGGGAAATAAGTTAAAGTTTACTTGTTTATAAAGTTGTATCAAGTACATTTAAAAGAAATATTTATGCTTGTAAAACGGTTAAGAGAACAGTTCGAAGTCAATTCAGTGAATGTGTTTGTAAATGGTGCCAAAGGATACCAGTTAATTTCCTGCTTAAATGCTTACTGAGTTTTCCGAATTCAACCCATTCCCCACTTTTTACTGAATTTGTGGAAAGTTCCTGTTCACTGTTCCTACATTCTTCCATAGTCCGATCAAATAGACACATGAATAAGCTATATCTCTTAATCTCAGTGTCGTCAGTAAGCTAGCTCATAGTTATTCCTCTATTTATTTGCATAAACTAACTTCGGATTATAGCTCCCTCTTGTCATATAGCTGGCTTTCTACCTGTTTGTTGTTTGAGAATTTAACATACTTAGAAGTGTAGTTATCGGCTACTGTATATACTAAAGGTATGTAACATCATTCAGTGTGATTTAATGCATATTATTACTAATTAGGTGCTATTCCACCATTTAATCTTCATGTTTTTATTTTAATATTTTGGTACAATTTACGATACATTTGTTGTCTATGTTCAACCTTTTTAGTTTTATTAATTTATAGTAAGAAATTTTATTCGTTTTTTATAGGCACTCCAATTAATATTGCCAAATCCCAACAATCGATTCCTGCTCCACCACCACCACCGCCGCCACCACCTCCTCCTCCTCCTCCTCCCCCGCCAATGACTAATATATCTGGGTCAAAAAATTGGCATCAGAACACCACCACTACAACAGCAATATCTAATAAACTATCAGGTTCACAGTCAGCTGCCGATAATTCTGATACTAGTGACCATGATAGTGTTGCTGATTCTGTTAGTTTAGATGCTCAATTACGTATAGCAAGACAACAACGTATTCGTGCTGCTTCTGTGGCTGGCCTAGGATCTTCTGATTTTGTATCAACTGTTTGTGGCCCACGTACTCATGGTGTAGATATGATGACTGATCTTCAACGTGTTCTGGCAGCACGTCGACGTGCTAAGGAAGCTGAAGAGGTTGGTCCAATTTGAAACTGATTATTATTTATTAAATAGACATTAACTGATAAATATCAGGGGATAATGTTAAGTTCTACTCCTAGATATTATAAGTCAGATATTCACAGTTATGCTATTTTTCACGAAGATTCTATGGAGTCAAAAACAGTATTTGATTAATTCTGATATATGCAATGTTATTTTCAATAATATTCATTGCCTTATAATCAAAAGCTATAATTCAATAATACACTTCAGTTAGACTCAAGATTTATTCTTTTGTCATTTTACTAACATCTTGAACTAATATAACTCCCCTATTAGGTAAAAGTTTATGTTTTGATGTTTACTGGTTGAAGGTTGTCGAGAATAAACACTAGATTTAGGTTTCGTGCTAGTTGTCACTTGTTAACAAGACGTACCTGGAATCTTTAAGGTCTTGATACTCTATATAGGATTCCAACCACCGTCATAAGAACTTACAGCCGAAGAAAATATTAATGAACCGTTTTGACCACAACTAATTAACTGAAGAACTGAGATTTCTTCAGTTTACATAACTGGAGTCCCATAATAACAACACTTGTTTTTTTCACTCGTTCAATTGTTACTTAAAACGTTAGACTTTCAATCACTGGTTCACCGGTTCAACTCCCTTACTTACGCCTGTTACCCCTCGTGGAGGAGCACAGGCCGCACACCAGTTTCCTCCATCCAACCCTGCCCCAAGCAATCGTTTCCAGTTCTTTCCAGTTGTTATTCATCTTTCTCATATCTGCTTACAATTCCCGACGTAGTGTGTTCTATGACCTTCCTTTTTTCCGTTACCCTTCAAGATTCCAAGTTACAGATTGATACAGTCCGGTGATTTCCTTAATGTATGTCCTATCAACTTCCAACATCTTTTCCTAATTTCCTCTTCAGCTGGAAACTGGTTTGTCCTCTCCCATAAAACGTTGTTGCTGATGGTATACAGCCGGTGAATGTTGAGTATTTTTCGTAGATAGCTGTTTATAAATACTTGTACCTTCTTGACGATGGATGTAGTAGTTCTCCACGTTTCAGCTCCATACAGCAGGACTGTCTTGACGTTCGTATTGAAATGAAAATGCATGTCAGCTATCCTCCATACACGACCTTGCCCTGTAGTCCGTCCTATGAGTTCCGGATAATGTTGACAATCGTCTGAGGAATTCCATAGTGTGGAAGAAGTTTCCATTATGTTCTCCGGTCCACATTTTCGAACGCCTTCTTATAGTCTATGAAGTTAATGTATAGTGACGAATTCCACTCAACTTATTGTTCCACGATGATCCATAGTGTCACGGTTCGGTCTGTGCACGACCGATCCTTACGGAATCCAGCCTGTTGATCTCGAAGTCGAGCTTCTACTGCGTCTTTCATCCGATTCAGCAGCACTCTGTTGAAAACCTGCTCTGGTACTCACAGTAGTGTGATTACTCTGTAGTTGTCACATTTGCTCAGATCTCCTTTCTTTGGTATCCTGATGAGATATCCTTCTTTCCAGTCTGTCGGCACTTGTTCCTCTTCCCAAATCTTTCCGAATAAAAGCAGAAGCATTTTAGCAGTTACTTCAATGTCAAACCTCATTGTTTCAGCTGGTATATTGTCAGATCCTGCTGTTTTCTCACTCTTGATTTGTCTAGTGACCATCCTGATTTCTCCGATCGTTGGTGGGGTGATTTCTATAGGAAGGTTTGTGTGTGCCGCTTCAATGTCCAGTGGATTCAACGGGGCTCGTCCATGCAGCAGTTCCTCGAAGTATTATACCTATCATTTCCTCTGTTATTGAATCTGAGTGGTTAGCTTGCCTTCTTTGTCCTTGACTGGTCTCCCTGGTTTACTATATCTCTCTACTAGTTTCTTCGTTGTATCAAATAGGTGTTTCACATTTCCTTCTGTTGCAGATTTTTTCGCCGTCATTGCTAGTTCTTCCATGTATTTCTGCTTGTGTTCGACTGTTATTAATTACTGTCTTCTTGTTCTCCCTTTCTTGAACGAGTTGGTAGTGATCTGAATCTATGTCAGCTCCTCTCTTGGTTCTCACGTCTTCCATGGAGTTTCTGAATCTTTCACTGATGCAAATATGATCTATCTGGTTCTCTGTGGTCAGTCAGTCAGTCAGCTACAACGTAGGACCAGGCACATTTATGCATCGGTCCAAGTTTCCATACCTCGTTAGCACAACAAGATGAACACCGGATTCATAGAAGTAATTAATTTAGTGGTGGTAGTAGTATATAAATTATAGGTTGTATATAATGATATAGTATAGGAAGGAAGAGAGATATGAAGCAATTTTAGTCTCAAGGTTTAAAGGAAGATAAAGAGTGTATACACCTACGCCATTGTGATCGATTCTGAGCCATGTCACCTAGAGTCTCCAACCATTGGTTACGATAGTCACGCGGACCCCAACCAGGTAGTCTGCATCTGCCAACATGGCTCAGACTAGAAGTTAGTGACTTCAAACACTGATGCCACGTTTTGGTTTGGCCGCCCCTAACTCTCTTCCAACAATCCCCTACACTAGTCATCATAGCGCGTCGTGGTAATCGGTGTTCAGGCATACGTAACACGTGGCCCAACCATCTCAGTCGATGAAGATTCATCACCTCATCAACTGATTTACCATCGTTCCCTAATACCCTGTGTCTAACCTCACTATTACTTAGCCGCTGATCCCAGCAGATGCGAGCAATATTTCTGAGGCATCTGTGGTCAAATACTAGTAACCTACGAGTATCTTCTACTCTTAATGGCCATGTTTCACAACCGTAAAGTGGTCCGGTAAGGTCCATGTAGCTTTCTGTATGAGTTGGTGTGGAAATATTGTGCCGCCTATAACCAATTTGTTGAATGCACATAGATTTGCAAATCTCTCTCCATTTTCATTCCTCTCTCGTAGTCCATGTCGTCCCATTATATCTTGATATCCAGTGTTGTCCACTCCGACTTTAGCGTTCAGATCTCCCATCAGGATTGTGATGTTCTTCCTTGAGCATTTAGCTATGATTGATTGCAGCTTTTCATAGAACTGATCTTTATCATCGTCGTTGTTATCATTGGTGGGTGCATAACATTGGATAACATTCATTGTGATCCCTTCCTTCTTTGTTTTCAATGATGCTTTGATGATTCTGGATCCGTGAGATTCCCATCCTACAAGTGCATTTCGTGCCTCTCCGGACAACGTTAGAGAAACCCCCTGAAAGTCTGGAGTATCTTTTTATTACCTGTCCGATTTTACTGATATATTCTTCCGTTCTAGTTGTTTTTCATAATAATAAAATGCCGTCGAATTTATATATGTATATAATATTCTCAAGCCTAGTTATAAGTCATCCCACTTAAATATATATTGAACTTTCCTATCTATCGTCTTTTGTATCCCATACTAAAAATAACAAATCAATAAATTGTCTCGTCTGAGTTTTGCTCCCATTCTGCATTGATTAATACGGTAACGGTTATGGATATTATTATCATTGTTATTACATCAGGAGACCTAATCAGACAATTTTCTCGTATATATTTATGTATGTATTTTTCTGTATGTGTATACAGACCTGTCCAGTCTTCTTTTATTGATCTGTACAGTTGCATTAATTCTCTTTCAAACTTAGTCTGTCAGAAATTTTCGATTTGTTTATACTTGGTATACATTTCTATACTTGTCATACAGTATATCCCAGGGACAAAGTAGGATTTTTATAAACTTTTGGTGTGTCCATGTTGGTAGCACTATATATATTATATATATATATATATACTCACTTGTTATTAGTTATTCTCCCTTACCTCTCTGTGTATCAATAATGTGACTATCTATTTTGTTCCTTACTGTGAGAGCCTAGAAATGTAAGCTTTCACTTACCTATCTTTGGTGAGTAATTAAGCTATTTTCTTTAAAAAGAAACTCAACTTTAGAGAAATCATATCTCGACAAGATTCATGTAATTACATTTCTGATTTACGACGTTTTAACTCTGCCTTGTTTTAGTATATTTGCAGCATAACGTTTTTGGAATTCTAGACATCCAATACCGTTTTATTTAGGACTTATCAGCTAGTTGTTCTTACAAGCCAGTGTTTATGTTCACATTGAGACTTGAATTTAATATCCATCCATTGGAACGTCAACACATTATTCAACTAATCTACTGTGTTGAGATAACTGCTGAAACCTGTAGCTAAAATAAAGCAATGAGATATTCACACAGGAAGCACATTTATGCCCATTGGCAACTGATCAGTTGTACATCAAAAATTCAAGAATAAAAAAGTATTTTTGTAATTACTGACTGTATTTTTTTAGATGATCTCTTTTATAGTATCTATCCATATATCCGCCAATATTAACTGATATTGATTTCACAAGTGTATTTTACCAATTTATTTATTTATTTATACATATTGACACTGGTACAAAGAGGCACCAAGCAGATATGCGCAACACAAATCATTCGATTCCTGTGAGGGATAGAATATTGCCCAGACGCCTTAAAGGAAGCACGTAGTTTTTTTAAGGGGACGATCCCCAAGCCTTTGACTCTGAGTTCTAATCCACAAGTCAGTGGAACAACGTTAGGAGATTCAGTCTCATGGTAGCCAGTGACCAACAATAGGTTCATACGTCATTTGTTTCCACAGTATCTTTGATACCATGTACACTTTAGCTTTGGTATCAGAGTTCTCCAACTCCCCTAAATAGATCCTCCGTACAAACCAACCCGATTCAGGCACCGGACACTTGTTTTTAGTTCACTCAATTTGGTAAACAACATCCCCGCCGCCAGAAATCAGTGAGTTGGAATTCCCTGGCGGTAGCTGTGTACACATGGCTATGTGAGAGCATTTCGGGAGGGAGAACAGACTCTCCCTACTCTCAGCCATACCGGGGTACTTGGAGGCATTTCACCGATTAGTTTTCTTATCATAGTATGAACCTAACTAAATTGTTTGATCAAAATCAGTGATCGGGAAACCTGTCACCA